CTCCATTGTCCCACAATACCATGCAGCCTGAATTAATGTCGACTTCTCATAATAACTAATATTCACACCATTCGTTTCACTTCGAACGCTCGCCTTCGAAATTCCTAAATGTATTTATAAATTTAGCGATGAAATAAGTTAAATTGAAGACTAGATTTAGAAATTTAACAAGTTTCATCGTGACTGGACAAAACAAATTTAACAAGTTTTAGCGTGACCTCCTTTCCTCCTCAATACGTACTTGTTGTTCGTATTATTCAAAAGAAGAAAACAATTTTGCAAAACAAACTTCGGCGTTTACGACGTATGCTGCAGAATATTGCAACATACATAAAAAACATTGCATTCGGTATGGTTAGTTTCCAAATAAAGCGCATTCTGAAGTATAATAAGTAAGAAACCGTTTGAAATCTGATTCAAACGATAAAACATAGAGGAAGTAAAAGAAAATTGGAGTATGTATTCCAGAAGCGTTAAATTTTTTTAAATATAATTAAGAAAAAGGTTTTTTTAATTGGGATAGCTTGCAAATAAAACATTACGGTCTAGTGAATTGAAGTATGAATTTAATATTGATTCATAATTGAATAAAAAGAAAATGAGTGAAACCTCAACCAAATTTCTGTTCCATTTGATTTTACACATTCTTTTATCCAACTTATGTTCCAGGTGTGGAAACTTCTGATGCAAAAGTTAAAATCTGCAGCTTGTAATGCTGAAAGGCTTTGTATAAATATGATGTCGACGAGTTTGACAATTGGAATTTTGAAATCAGCAGAATAATAGCAAGGCAAACCAAGAATTAAGAAATCTGGATGTGAGTTCACCTCATAAAATCGCATTTCTATAATTTTGTGTCAGTCGGCGCAGTGCAACGGCTAACACAATTGAACAGTGTTCAGATGGCAAAATATCATTCCTTAATTTTGTTAGGACGATATTGAATAGGATATACGTTTTAATCATCAGTTATTATAACGATAGCAATTATTGTTCGGAAGAAATAATTTTGATCATTGCTTAAGAAATATCATACCTGAAAGTGAGAACCACACGAAAACGATTATAAAGTACAGCCTTCTTGATTCGAAAATAGCGTTGTATTTTGGTAAAGTTAGTGCCACGAAGCGATTCACCGCCAGCAGTAGCGAAAAATGTAGTATGACAAAAAGTGAAAAACTCTTGCAGGTTGAGAATGCAATGCTAATCCATGCTTTTGTGTTCTCTAAATCTCACCAGATTAATTGATATTGCTGAATTATTTCTGCGCAATTAGAAATCAAACATATTAATTTTGTTTTGTGAATAATAATAATTTCATCTTTGATGTAAACAAATGATTCCATTTATCTGATCTCAAAATGTAAACAAAGCAACTTACCATTTGACTTGCTTTCAGTTTGTAATATTTTAGGCAATACAAGAAACATTTGTGGTAGAAAAGCCATGAAATTGCAAATAATCAGTTGTACTGAGATAAGAATAAATCCACGGCCATAATAACGCTCTTTTCCACGACAGAATAATACGATCACCATTAGTGTGTTACTAATAATACCATAAAGTAAGAAAATGATAAAAAGCATAACTGCGATGTATTTCATAAACTTGTGATCCTCATCTCTTATATCGGCCTTATATGTCGTATTTCTTTCGTGACAGGTTACAGGCAATATCAGAAATAATACAGTAATAAAGCAATAGCGAGTAAACATTTTAATTGATTATCTTTGGCAGGATAAAGAAAGGGATTTCAGCTGGCTTACAAACAAACAAAAATTACGAGTTAGAATCTGGCTGAAATGCAAATTACCAAAAATTGCGAATTAAAAAGTATGTATTAATTGCGAAGTAATTATAATTTGAGGGCGAAATAAGATCTTTACTTCTTCTGCAACTGTAGTAGAAATGGCTAATAACATTTGTTTTTATACGTAGGAACAACGCCATTTATTGATTTCAATTTCTGAATTACAAATTATCTTCAATTCTCAAATAACACAATTTACATGGCAATTTTTTTCTTATTACTTGAGTCTGAAAAGAAATAATGAACCAATCACGGCGATTCAGTGCAAGATAAATTGAATGCAATTAATTAATTACGATACATATATGAAAGAAAATAGATTGAGAATTTCCTTCTTTTCACCTCTTGTTTCTGTTTATTGCATCACTCTAGCATTGCTGTGAAAATAAGATTGGTGCGACTGCTGCCAGCAACGTGAACATTCAGAGATCTTTTTCAATTTTAGTTATAAAATTATTCGCAAAAATATTTTAAATAAATGTAATGCATGAGTAACTATTGATTATGCTTTTTGATTTTAAAATTCAAAGAAATTAATGCATAAAATTGATAACAAAAACAAATGAAGTTGACAATTACGTGGTGATGCATGTATTTATACACTGATTGCACATTTTTAAATGAGCCTAGTAATCAACACAGCGCTATGTTGGCTGCTATTGGCAATTTTTACAAAACTTTACTTTACTTTTACTTAACTTTACTCACGCCATTACTTTACTTCATTCATCAGCAAAACACGAAGTTAGTGCAAACAAATCCTTTCCTCTCTCCTTCACATGACGAAATTACGCCATGAGTACGTCATATTGAAAACGAAGTTTGATTGTTTGTTTGTGAGTAAGCATATAAACAAATAATTATTACTAAACAAAATAAATTATTAATTATTGCTTAATATTTTAAACAAAATTGAAAGCTTCGGTAACATTGAGGAAATGAAAAAGTATTAGATAGTGTAGCGTTGAAATTTTTCATTTGGTCCAAATTTTATAAAAATATATTTGAAGAAGAATCAACAAAGAAGCTCAGGTGTAAAAAGTTAAAATTTTCTGATTTGAAATCTAATTTTGAAAAAAACGCATCCTAAAATATAATAAGACGAAATGCAATTCTATTCGCTACTGTAGCATAGAAAATATTTGGTTTGAATTAAATTTTTTTAAGATATCAGATGGAATAATTTTTGAATGGAGAATGTTTATGAAAGATACAACGAAAATAAATTAAGTTAAAAATAATGCGAAAGGCGAAACGTTTCAAAACTTAACAATAACGAAGTCAGTTTAACATTTTTTTTCAGCGATAATAGCTTTTGTGAAAAAATTTATTGAAATAAAATCGACCATCGCAGCTTTTGCGATTAACGCTTACTAACATACTGTTAAACTGACTTCATTATTGATAAATTTCGAAACCGTTTTTGATTAAAAAGCATAATATTTATTGTTACCATTGGTCCATATCTAACTTAATTTGTTTTGCGTTGTATCTTTCACAAACATTCTCCACTCAAAAATTAATCCATCTGATATCTTAAAAAAATTTAATTCAAACCAAATATTTCTATGCTACAGTAGTGAATGGACTTGCGCTTCGTGCTATTATACTTTAGGATACGTTTTTTTCAAAATTAAATTTCAGGTCAGAAAATTTTTACTTTTCACATCTAAGCTTCTTTGTTGATTCTTCCTCAAATATATTTTCATAAAATATGGAGCAAATGAAAAATTTCAACGCTACACTATCTAATACTTTTTCATTTCCTCACTGTCACTGAAATTTTCAATTCTGCTTAAAATATTAAGCAATAATTAATAACTTATTTTTTTTTGAGCAATAATTATTTGTTTACATACTTATAAACAAACAGTCAAACTTCGTTTTCAACATGGCATATTCATGGCGTAATTTCGTCATGTGAAGAAAAGGAAAGAATTTGTTTGCACTAATTTCGTGTTTCGTTGATAAATGAAGTAACATGAGTGAGTAAAGATTAGTAAAAGTAAAGTAAAGTTTTGCAAAAATTGCCAATAGCAGCCAATTTTTGAAAACTGATAAGAGATAATTAATGAATTATAATTAATACTACAGGAATTCATGGCAACGTTAAATAAAAATGATAACTTTAGATTTTTTATTATATTTACATTGCTTGGCCGAATTTCGAAATTTAACCGAACTGTATTAAAACAACTAAAGTTGTATTTCAATTCAATTTCAAAAAAACTAAGGCTTTCGCACTACACGATTTGACAGCTGGCAGCTTTTGTAAGTATTAGACAATGAAATAATTGTTTTGACATTGCTTAAATTTAGTATACAATATCAAAGGCTGTCAACTACATGAAAGAAAGTAAAAAATTACAGGTTTGTTGATTAGATAAATTCATTTTATTTTGGCTATGAAATTTAAGCAGTGTCAAACATAATACAAATGTAATACAGTAAGAGTAAATGATTATCTTCGACAAGTGGAAGAAAAGGATTTTAGCTGGTTGAAATGCCAACTGTCAAGAATTGCAAGTTATAATCCAGAAAAATATGCGTTAAACTAAAAAAATATTTTTATCAAATGTATACATACATAAACATCGAATATCTTTTTCCATTTTGACGCTAAATTTAATGAATTATTTATTGTTATTGAAACATGCCCAGATTCAAAGGAATTTATGCATAAAATTGATGACAATAACAAATGAAGTTGACAACGGCGTGAAAGTACACGTATTTATGCACTCATTATACAATTTTCAATTAGACTATGTAATTAACACGGCACTACATAATTAATAAGTATGTTTGAAAAGTATCATCTGCTCACCATAAAATCTGCGTGAGATTTAAGTCACTGTTTCGGTGAAAATTTGTAGATTAGAAATTGAGAACAAAAACAGCATTTTTCTTACCTATGAAAGCAACGACAATATCGTCAATATTTTTATTAGCGATTTCTACGCAGTTGTAAAAGAAATGGCAATACTATTTCGCCAAACAAATTACTTTGTAATTAATGCACACTAGTTCCGATTTCTAACATGCAATTCATGGCAGCTTGCATTTCAGTCAGCTGAAATCATTTTCTTTCACCTGTTGAAGATAATAAATTAATATGTTAGGAAAGAAACACTGCATATAAGGCTGGTATGAGATGATAATCATAGGGTTAAAAAACACGTAGCAGTTCTACGTAATACCATTCCCGAGCTCTAAGGTAATGTTTAATTTTCGTTTAATTATCCTTGTATGGTTGTTACTTTTAGGTATGACTTATGAAATACCTCCCGAACAATAGTCAAATAACTTCTTTAAGGCAATAATTTTCGTCCTTTAAATAACTTATGGATGAGTGTACCATGGTTTAATATTGTATTAAGTAGAGATTCTGGAATGATTTCTGGAACTTTGCAATCTTTGAAGGTAATATTTTCAATGATCGGGATTTAGGTTAGATTTCCAGCAATTACATTTACCGGTTTTTATTATAGCACCAGAAGATTTTTTGTTTGGAGAGGAAGTTGGAAGAAGAATGTGAAAAGCGACGTGGAACATGCAACAGGTAGGAATTGATGGCTGTTATCTTTCAGTGTCACTTTGTTCAATTTTTTATGAATTTTAAATTTAAACTTCAAGCCACCACATACTAATGCAAAATGTCCTCCATTCAAAAATCAATCAAATGATCAAAAATCGTTCAATCATCGGATATCTTTAAAAATTTAATTCTAACCATATATTTCTATGTTATAATAACCAATAGTTTTCTGCTTCACAGAATATTTTCGTCATGTTTTCCTATTACTTTTCGTGGTTGCGAATAATATTTTCTTTATTTTTTAGTCATTAGGTCATTTTTAAGGAACAGCTTATTATATTTTAGAATACGTTTTTTCGGGTATTACTTATACCTAATGTTATACTTATACCTTATTCCTAATCTTATACATAAAGTCACATATGTCACGACATTCTACAAGTATACGTCGTAAACGTCAAAGTTTGTGCACTAAATTATTTCTTCCTTCTATATTAAACACTGTTCAGCTGTTTCATCGTTTCATTACGCGAACTAATACCAACTTCTGGAACTTTGGTTTTATTAAAGCAAATCATTTTATATTTGAATTTCATAATTTCGTCTTATTTTGCCATTGTTTGATATACTTCAATGGCTTTTACCAAGCTTTCATATCATAATTATTTTTTCTACCAAATGCCATGGAAGCGATCCTTTCGTAAGTTCAACCATCATATATAACCAAATCATCACGTCGTGATAAATCTTGTCGATGATGAGCATCTAGTGAAGTATATCGTGTAGTACCACACCAACCCACTTCATCACGTGATGGTGATATTTCCGAATTCTATAATTATCCTAACTATTATAACAATAATTATTATTTTGCAAATATTACTAAATATTTGTTATTGAATAATCTCCAACAATGTAAATAATAACCAATACTAATATCAATTTTAACTTCTGGTCAATCACATTTTTTCCTTTTTCCTATTTTTTATTAATGAATATTTACAAAATAAAAATAATTTATTAATTACTTATTACTTAATAAATTAATCGATTAAAATAATTCAAATAATAATTTAAATTTTTCAGTTTCTCTTTCTTTTCTTCTTTAACATTGCTACAATTTATTTTCAGATGGAATAAAGTGGGATATTTAAATACAAACTCGATTTTTATTATATACGTAATATATAAATGCAAATTTGATTTTAATTAGATTCAAATAAAAGGAAACTAACAAAGTAAACAATATTCATTTCTAATTTCCGCGGTCGGTTTATGTGTCATTCTAAAATGCTGGCAAAATAGGTGGAATAAAGTGAAATTTAATATAAATAAATAACGAAGAAATAATGTCAGATAATGATCGATTACCTGCTGTTGACGATATTGTATTATCAGGCCGAAATAAAGCTTACAAACTAATATCTGTTATTGGTGAAGGAGGTTATGGGAGTGTTTTTTTGGCAAGATGTGAGAATGACGAAAAGTAAACAAAAGTTTATTAAAATTTATTATGACTTCAGAAGTAAATATTATTAGAGAGTATAAATTAGTTCATTTTTATATCAAATGATGAAGTAAAAGCGCAAAAATTTTAGGGAACATTAACTAAGTGAAACCAAATTTGATTAGTTATTAAATATTGCAATTATATTAATGATGAAATTAATGATAATGATTGAATAGGGCTGACAAAATATTATTTGTAACAATTCAAAAAATTCTTAACGTCGATTTTAATTTTTATTGATCATTAATTAATTAATTCCTAGCTCTTCCATTAATACTTAGCTGAGTTGTTTGTTAATTAATCAATTTCTTCATTTTCTTCAATTAACTAACTTCTATCATTTTATTATGCAAAATAGTTTACAGATCGGTGGCGTTAAAAGCCGAAAAATTCAGCAAAACAGTATTAAGAATTGAAGTTGCTGTATTGCAAATAGCGAATCAACGACATTGTAAGCATATCTGCAAGATGTATGATTATGTATGCTTTCATGAATTTAATAAACTTGTTAAGTTATTTCGTTTAATTCAATTTTTGTTGTTAGGTTGTATGAAAAGGGTTAACTCTTATTATCACTAATTTAAATCGATTAATATCAAAACTGATATCAGGTAAAACATTTCCTAGGCCTTGATTACAATTTACATGATATCTTTTTCTAATTAAAATTTTACAACTAAATTATAGGGTCATGTGAAACAGGAATTTATGTTTATTGTAATGTCACTTCTTGGACCTGATCTAAATAAACTACGTAATCGTCAGTCTAACAAACGTTTTACACTACGTACACTTTATTTATAACTTTTTGCATTTAAATTAATATAAATATGTTTCTTAAATTTCAACATTTTCAAAACAAAAAATATTTTGTATTATTTCTTTGTTAATTTTAAAAAAGTGGGATTTTTTTAGCTTTATTTACCTGATTATTTAAATTTTTGCTAATTTCCTTCGTAATTATGTTTAATTATTAAACAAAAAGTTTACAAAAAAAATCAGAGGAATTCAAATTCTGTAAAAATTTCAACAGTTTCTTTGTAATTTATATTTGAAGAAATTAAAAATGGAATAAAAGGAAAGAGTAAACAATTGCAGGAACTTCAACTCGAATAGCAATACAAACATTAAATGCTATCGAAGAATTACATCAATGTGGTTTTCTTTCTCGTGATATTAAACCTAGCAATTTTGCAATTGGCAGTAAAGATAATCATCAACAGCATCATTGTATTTTCATATTTGATTTTGGCCTCGCAAAACGTTACCTTAATCGAGTTTGTACTTAAATATCTCTCCAAGTAAAAAAAAGCTGTAGCAATAGTTAAAGAAGAAAGAAAGAGAAACTGATAAATCTAATTGATTATTTGAATTATAAGTTATCAGTTAATTTGTAAAATAATAAGCAGTTAAGGATAAATTATTGTTATAATAACTAGGATAATTACAGAATTTAGAAGTATTACCATCACGTGGTGAAGTGGGTTGGCGTGGTACAACACGATATGGTTCATTAAATGCTCATCATCGACAAGATTTATCACGACGTGATGATCTGGAATCGTGGTTATATATGATGGTTGAACTTACGAAAGGATCGCTTCCATGGCATTTGATTACTGGTAGAAATAATCCTTCCATTTTTTTATTAAATTTCAACTTTTACAGATACTTATATGATAAAAATGTATGTATGCATATATAATGAATTATTGACAGATTAAAAAATTTGTTTTAAAAAAACTTTTTGGTATTGTTTTTTAGATCGTTTGCTCGTAGAAAAAGCTAAAGAAGATGCCCGTACAGTAACAAAAGATGCATTTTTCAACAATTGTCCATTACAATATGATCAAATATTGCAAATTATTGATAAATTAGAATTTGATGAAACTCCGCCATATGCTAATTTTTATAATATTCTAAATGAAGTATTCCTTTTAATTTATATCATTCCATTTATTTTCCGTTTTCCGTTTTTCGATAAATTAAATTATTATATATTATTCCGGAATTATTGAATAACTTTTTTTTGCTCTGAATTTTATCTTTATATTCAAAAATAGAAAAAACATAAAAAAAGGAAGAGGAAGAAAATGGAATATTTTATAGATAACAGATGAAGATGGTATTGTATTAGCGATGCGAGATGATTGGGATGATAGCATATCATCAGTATCATTTACTTCTAATCCGATTAGTTTTGATCATAGTCAATCAAACAGTCATAAGGCTGAAAATATTGGACAAGACTATCCATCACGTGATCATTTACCAGTTCAATAGTAAATTATAATTATTAATTTATAACAATGATAATGCTGACATGAATAATAATAAACTTGCAAATTAATAAATATAAATAAAAATTTTTCTTCCCTTAATATAACGTGTATTTACAATTTTTGTTGTTAAAATAAATGCACATTAATATGGAAAATGCAGGTTGCAATTTATTTCAACGGCGAATACTTCTTTATTGAATTAAATCGAATTAAATTATGAATGAAATTCTTTATCGATATTTATCTTATTCATATTTTCAATATTTGGTTTTCTCCTTTGCAGTCAAATTTCAGAATGCATCGATTCTGTATATTTTTTTCGGTAATAAAGACGGCAATATGTTAAGAATTCTAATTTATAATATAAAATTAATTATTAAAAATGAATCAAATTTGCAAGCTTGTTATTACACATCCAATTTAATAATTTATATTTAACTTTTAATGTTAAAATGATAGTTCAAATATGACTAATGAAATTATTATTATATATATATATATGTACTTCATGTATACTTCTTGTATCATGTATATATATTATACATAACAGGGTTTATCAAATTTCATTAGATTGGAAAATATGAATTATTTGATTAAGAAATTGAATTTTAAAGTATAGCCATAAGAAATTGTACTTCTGACATTTTCATTGTCTACTAAAAATATTCAAACTTTGTTTTTGAAAGTTAAAAGACTAACAATGTGGTGCATTGAAGAAATGTTCAGCTTGTTGATTTAACGGATTAACCATAATGATTAAAGCAAAAATACAATGAATAGCTATGGTTAAATTAGCCGCATGTCGGATCCATGATGTTTAGATGGAATCGATTATCGAATTTCGAATAGGTTTTTCAGCAAAGGTATTAATGCTCTATTGAAGATTTTTATAAACTACTACATCATTTTCATTTGTGCCTTAATACCTATTGTTCATGTCACTTACATAGGGATTCACGTGATATCATAAAACATTATTTATATCACTTTTTGAAATTGTAAATTGATTATATTATTTTATATCATATATCACATCATATATCATTTTAAAAAATTGAAAAGATTCATCGATCACCACCTTATTGTTCTTTGAATTTCCTTTATCAAAAGGTAAAGTCACTTAGTCCAATTTCCCATGTACCATAAATTCATGCAGCCTAAATTAACATCAACCGCTCTAATATTCACATTAACAAATTTAATTTGGTGAGGAGATGTGGAAATTCAATAAAGTTAATCGTGACCGTTCAAAGTTAACTTTAAACCGGTCAATAAGCCTTCACGCTCCTAAAATATAATAAATAATTGACCGTTTTAAATTCAATTAAAACAATGCAACAACAATGCAACATTGAATTTTCTAAAATACATTAGAGAAACAAATTTTTCTGATTGGGATAGCTTACAAATAAAACATTACGATGTTATAATTTGAAGAATGAATTTAAAATTTGTTCATAATTGAATAAGAAGGAATTGTGAGAAAACCTCAACCAAATTTCTGCTCCGTTTGACTTTGCAATCTTTTTACCCAAATTATGTTCCAGACATGGAATTTTTTAGCGCAATATTAAATACTGCAGCTTGTACCGCTGAAAATCTGTGTAAGAATATGAAGCCGACAAATTTGACAAAGATCATTGGAATTGTAAAATAAGTCAAAGTATATCAAAACAAAGCAGGAATTATGAAATCTGAATGTGTATCCACACTAATATAATTGTACTTCTACAATTTGATATCAGTCAGTGCGGCGACGGCACAACTGAACGGTGTTCAGATCGCAAAGGACCATTACTTAATTTCTATTTTAGGACAGTGCGTAATCATTCAAACGCAATTATTGTTCAAAAGAAATTATTTTGACTATATCATAAATGCTAAAAATAATAAATACTAAGTATTGAATTTTAAATATGCTTGTTATATAAAATTTTTTTGCAACAACAACAGCATTGCTTTATTAGATTGGGATAACAGTGATGTTTTTGCAAAGTGATAGAAACCCTTGGAATGAATTCTCTTGTATTCTGCGCTTCGGAAAGCACCACAATTTTATGATTCTAAGTTGTTCTAGGTTTTTGCCTGTAGCTTCTTTGTCAAAATATCCTTTCAATAGCTTCGATTGCTAATTTCCATTCTTGATCGTTTCTCCTGAGTGAATGTAATTTGTTACTGATAATTGTATGCCAAATTTTTTCCTTATAATATCATTGTTTTTGGAGTAGCCTTTAATGGATAGTTTAACGTCTTTGCGGTATGCAAAAATTAAATAATTCTATTTTAGAAAATCTGGAATATTTTGTAGATAATAGTTTTTGATTTGGGAGAGGTTGGATTGGCACAATCGGTTTGTAGTGAAGATTTCATATTCGATAGAGAGTTTTATACTTCTTAATGTTATTATACAATTATTAGAAAACACAATTATTGGAAAAATTATTGGAAAATACAATTATTGGAAAAAAATATTTGTAAATAATTGGATTAGCGATAATTTGATGAGTCATAATTTTTAATGAGTAATAGTATTATCAAATTTCTTACTGCTGAACTACGTTATATATATCACTCCATTATTTTTTTATAAATTCTTTTGGGTAATAGTTTAAAATGCTTCCACAGTATCCGATAGACAACGGTCTGTGTTACGCATACCTAAAATTCATATTTATTCAATCAGTTTTCCATTATTTTACATTTTCTATCCAACTTATTCCTTTAATCAAACTTAAAGGCTATGATATAATTGCAGAAAACTATGGTGTCATAAGAAAAGTTTTCAACGAAAAATCCGGACAATAATTTACAATTAAAAAATTTCTCTATAAAGTATTAATTACTATCAAAATGAAATTCGAATTAATTCAGTTTATTTTTGTCCACTTTTTGTTTTTAGTTACATTTCAATTTTCTACGATAAATGAAGCAATTACTATTCGCAAGTGAATTTTTGCGATTAGCAATTGATTTGAAGTTTCTCTGATTTTTCTCATTTGAAGCTTTAATTATATATATGCCATGGAACAGGTAATGAAATAAATTGTTGCAATGATTACGTCGCAATCTTCTATGATAAACGAAGCAATGAATAAACGATAAATGAAGCAATGAATAAACGATATATGAAGCAATTACAATTTGAATTGTTTTTTCCATCATTGAAACGATGATGTCGAATAGTATGTATGCATATGATGCGAAGATAATTAATGAGTCCCATTCACAAATTCTATTAATTCATCACAGATATTGTTATGCTAATGATATTCTTCCTTAAACGTCATTGAATCTCATTTAATAATTTATGCTTTGAGAATATTCAAAAGTATACAATTTCTCAATTAAAAGTTGAAACTATATCAAAGTACAAAGATCGAACATTAAATTAATTTGTTAATTATCAATTATTAATAAAAGCAACATATGAAATCTGATGAAGATCACGAATCATTTCGAATTTTATCAAGATCAAGCATGAATCAACTTTATCAATTAAGTTTTTCTTTAATTAATATTTAAAATTCAATATCATGCGTGTGTACAACTGTACGAATTGTATGAATTATAGAGAATACAACAATTTAACTTAATTAATGTTTTCGAAATTTAAAAGAATTTTATGTTCCAGCTTATTATTAATTATCCGGTTGCTATCCATGTTCCAATATTTTGAGTAGTGACCTTAGCTTTTATTTGTCCAATTTTCAATTTCAGCCAATTATATAAATGTTGTTTAATGATATCACGTGATTCCTTACTGTAAATAAAATGAACAGTAGGCAGTAAGGCGCAAATGAAAATGATGTAGCAGTTTAAAAAAATCCTCGATGGAATATTAATACCCTTGCCAAAATACTTAAACAATGTTGATGGCAAAAATTTAGCTAAAATAATTCCAATTTCCCATATACCACAATTCCACACAGCCTGAATTAACATCGATCGTTCATAATGACTAATATTCACACCAATCGTTTCATTTCCAAAATTCGTAATTCCTGAATATGTTAATAAATTTGTCGATGAGATAAGTTAATTTGATGAAGAGATTTAGAAATCTTACAAGTTTTATCGTATGTATTTAAAACTAATGTTAAAGCAATTAGTAAGCCTTTTAGTTATTGTTTTTATTGCGTAAAAGACAAAAGCGAATTGACAAAACAAACTTTGACGTTTACGACGTATGCTGCAGAATATTGCAAAATACATAACAAGCATTACATTCGGTATAGTTAGCTTCCAAATACTACGTATTCTAAAATATAACAAATAAGTAACCGTTCTAAAATCAATTAAAACAATGCAATATAGAGAAAGTGAAAGGGAATTAGAGTATGCAACATAGGAACATTAAACTTTCTAAAATATATTTGGCAAACAGATTCTTTTGATTTGAATAGCTTGCAAATAAAACATTACGGTATATTGATTTGAAGCACAAATTTAATATTTATTGATAATTGAATAGAAAGGAACTGAAAGAAAACCTCAACCAAAGTTGTAATCCATTTAACTTTGTACAATTTTTTGTCCAACTTAAGTTCCGCACATGGAATTTTCTGGTGCAATAATAAAAATCTGCACTTTGCAATGCTGAAAATTATGACATAAATATGATGCCGACAAGTTTGACAAAGACAATTAGAATTTTGAAATAAATCAAATAATAGCAGAACAAACAAAAATTAAGAAATCTGGATGTGAATCCACTCTAATAAAATCGCATTTCTATAATTTGTTGGTTGGCGCAGTGCAACAACGTCATTACTGAACGGTGTTCAGATGGCAAAGTGTCATTCCTTAATTTTATTTTGGACAATATTGAATAGAATATACGTTTTAATCATTAGTTGTTAAAACGATAGCAATTATTGTTCAGAAGAAATTATTTTGATCATTGCTTGATAGATATCATACCTAAAAGTATTAACCACATGAAAGCGATTATAAAGTACAGCTTTGTTGATTCGAAAATAGCGTTGTATTTTGGTAAAATTA